TGAGGCCGCGGCTTGAGGACCGGACCTTTCTATTTCTTTTTTTGTTTCTGGGAATAAAGAAGACTTCTTATTTTTGTTCTAAATATATTTCTTGGCCATTTTTCTATTCCAGGAAATAGAAAAATAAAATGCATTACCAAACATATTTTTGTTCTTTTTTTGTTCCAGGGAACAGAAGAACAGAAAAATAGAGAAGTAGAAACGTTACCAAACGCGCCCCTAATATCCAAAAGAGCCATTCTTGCTACAACAGGCAAACCTTTTCGCCCATGAAAGGTAAGAGCAAGACGGACTGCTCCATAGTGAATATGCGAATACCCTTGTTGGATCCACTGTTTTAGAAATTCATGAGGAATTTGAAGAGTAACAAAGTACTCCTTTTCAGTGGCAGGAATTGAGTGTTGGTCAAATTTGGAAGACTGGACGTATTCTTTGACCTCTTTTGGAGTATGACGGATGAGATGTCGTATAGACCTGATGGGGGAAAAAGATGAAGCAGGTTTGGCAAAGGCTGAGTATGGATTCATGAAAGGAAGTTGCGTTTCGGAAATCTTGGTTTCATCACTAAGAGAGACTTCATAGAGATAGTCTATCTTAGAAGCATGTAAAGTACGAAACTCGGTTAAAGATGAAGAAGAAGATGATGGAGTGAGAGAAGCAGTGAGAGTGATTGGAGTAGTATTTGGATCGGTCATGATGAAGAGAAAGGGTTCTTCGCAGCACTGGACAATCACCAACTAAGCGCATGGAACGAACAAAGCTAGACATAAAACCACGCTCTGATACCAATGAGGGGATCTATGCAGAGAGCTAGGGAAAACAAGGTCAAAATCCACTGGAAGACTAGTCGATTGTCAATGAGCTCTCCACCCTTGATTATGTAAACATTTATTTAACGAATAAACAACAAATAATGCTCTTATTTTTCTTTTAGGCTCCACTTGTTTCATGGAAAATGTGACATTCTTGAAAAATGTTTTTCAAGAAGTCATGACAATATTTTACAATGTTTAATTGAAACCTAAAAATGAACTAGAAAATATTTTTTGTCATTTGGTATAGAAATTTGATTTGATTTTCCTAAGTAAACATACACTATCCGGGGGCCAGTAATTTGTGCTTGGGCAGGGAACCAGGTGCTAGTATTAATGTCCTGGGTCCGGCCGCGATTGACCCCAACCCGAGCGCCGACAATTAGGGCAAGGGCACCTGGGTCTTGGGTCCTGGGTCTGGCCTTGATAGACCCGCATGCGAGCACCAGGGAATTGTGCCCAGCCTCGATGGACTCGGGCAAGGCCTTTGTGAACCTAGGCTCGGGTGTTGGGGATCCGAGCTCTGGTAGTGGGATCCCGTACTCGACCTTTGCAAATGCGGGCCTGGGTGTTGGGGCATTAGGCACGGGCACTAGGGTTTCGGGCCCGGCCTCAATAGACCCAGACGAGGGTGCTAGGGATCTAGGCACGGGCATTGGGGTCACAAGCCCGAGCACCAGAGACCTGGTCCTAGACGTGAGGACCTAAGAACCAATATTGTGATTTTTGTGCATAAGCGTAGAGTTTCGGGGCCAAATGCTGATATTTAGTTATATTTTGGAAAATAATTTTCAATTTTTTAAAGAGGAAATCATTTTCCTAAATTTAAGCATATATTTTCCGTTGACTCATTTTCCTAAGTGGACAAAATGCTAGAAAATAAGGAAAATGTTTTCTGCGAAACAAATGAAGCCTTAATGTTGAGAGACTCTCACTTGTGGAAAAGAGAGGAGGAATTACCGGTTCCTAGACTGACCCTTGAATTGGCTTGGATCGGTCGGTCCAATCTCAAAAACTGGGAACCGATCTTGCCTAGTCAGGTTTCGGATTCCTAGATGGAAACCGAGTCACCCCAGAACCAATTATTACTAATGGCTTGATTAGAAAATTGAAATAATAAATTAGTGGGTTGTGCTCGAGGCAGGTTCAACCCGTTCGATCCAAAACTTACCAGCCATTTGTTATTGTCTACTACTACGGACTATATGACAAGTGAAAAAGTATTAACCATCAGCATAATTTACTTAAGTACTATCACTACCAAGTTTTTTTTAATGACTTAGAATCGATTTTGAATTTAATTATCCATAAAATAAATGATTGAGAGTTCATTATATTATTCTATGTTTTTCCCTAGAAGTATTTGATCTTGTGTAAATAATCATACGTCACACGTCATTTTCACGAATAAAAGATGATAAAAACCAAATTTTACCTTAGAAAGACTATTCAGGTTGTGTGGTTCATGTTTGAATTGGTCCGACTTAACTTGGCTCATACAATCGAAGTACTTATATGGATACATGTTTCGATTGAGTTTTTTCGTCACGATCAAATAAACAGGTCATGTATGGATGATCTGTTTGACTAACTCGACACGACATAAAAACACCATGGAGTACGAACTAACTACTCGAGTGATTAACAAAATGGCTTCGACCCTAAGCAAACATTCTTACATGTAAGAAGTGGATGTTCCATGTACGAAAGGGATCAGCCTAGAGGGAACAAGATGAACTGCTGGAGCAAATGAAGTTTCTGCATGGCGTTACTCATAGATGTTTTATGCTGCACACACCTTATTCTAAATACCACATTCCTAGGGTTTACCTACAGCCAACGAGCCACGCATATTCATTCTCTCGACAAGGTGAATGGGGGCAGTTGTGCTCGTGGCGATTTCTGCTAGTGACGCTTTCTTGTGGGCCTAAATAACCACTTTCATAAGACATCAGTTGACATGGACAAGCCTGCTGCCTCTTGGAAAAGATGTTGAACGCAGATGAGATCGACCCTTCAGCACATGGCTCTCTTCCTGTGTCTTGGATTCTTCCATAACACTCCCCCGTCTGGGAAAACATGCTTGCCCCGTTAAAGATAAGGCAGGGACAGCAGCACAGATGACTGTGCTGAAAACACCTGCGAGATCAGTCGACATGGGACCGATCTAATTGACGGAACGGATCGTGTTCGAAAATCGTTCTGCTGTCTTTTCGCCGGAGTGGAGAAGGTAGACCCTGAACAGAGGGAAAATTGCCAAAAGAGTATTAAACCTATTACAATTATGTCAATTCCGTCGTAAGCCTTTTTTTTTTACTAATTGAATTATAAATTTTTTGTATTTGTGCTAATTCAATCCATTCGACTAATTTTGATCAAAAATCGCTGACATGGACACCGGTCATCTTACGTGGCCCTGTTTGGCGCTAAAGTGAATAATTTTTAATAATATTTTTGAATGTTTTCGAATTTTTATTTATTTCCTTTCTTTTCTTTTTATTCTCTTCTTCTTCTAGCTGGTCATCGCCAGTAGCGAGTGCTGGCGAGCCTCGCCCATTTCCTGGTGAGACCTAGTAGCCTCCGGCGAGGGCTCGAGCCTCGCCAGCCCAGTGGGCACTGAAACCGAGCGATATATGTTAAGCAAACTAGTCTTCTTCACAGGTATCACCTTAAAAAAATGGTGAGATCAATCTGGTGGAGTTAGATGATCAAAAAACTCAAGTCCATCTTCTTGTTTTCTTCTTCTTGTTTTTTTTTGTCCGTTTTTTTTTATCTCCCCTTTTTTGTCGCGGGAGCAAAAAAGTCCAATAGAGGATGAAAAAGTCTTAGCATAATAAGCACATTAGGTAGGACATAGAAGGTAGACAATGACATGCAAGTATTAGGTGCTACTGGCCAGTAATCTCTCCTCCTTATCTAATTAATTCCTAATAAATAATTAGGCGACTTTCGGCCTAACTTAAAAGTTAAACATCAATTTTTTAAGGCATATAAGAAAACGACCTTATGGTTAATTATTTTTAATGAATCGAGTGCCGTTTCATATAGTGACGGCCACCGCCCCAAAACATGAGCATGACCACCCACCCTCCTAATTTTTATTACATGTCTCGTAAATATTGCTTCGATCAGGCGTATCTCAATCATTGATTATAGGAGTCTCGTCTAATTTTTCGCATCTTTGAGGTTTTAATCATTTGCGGCTATCGGGACGCAACACCGGCTAGTGCATGACGATCATTTCAACGGAACCTATAAATGTCGAACGACATTTTTATTTCGTTTTAAACTTAATAAAAAAGGAATAAGTGCACTGAAAGTCCTAGAATTTATCACAATAGTGCAATCGAGTCCTAAAACTTATCAAATGAAAGGACTTGATTGGATCAATTCGATAAATTTTAGGACTTGATTGGATTAATTTAACAAGTTTTAGGACTCAATTGCATTTTCGTAACAAGTTTTAAGACTTAATTGTACTTTTTGAAAGTTTCAGGTTTAAATTGCACTTTCATAATAAATTTTAGGATTTACAATGCACTTATCCCTTAAAAAACGGCTAATGTGAAGAATACGATCCCTTCCGATTTTTTATTCTAGGCGAGAGATCACATAAGACAAATTGTGTGGGCAAACGAAAAAAGAAATCACGAGAAGAAAAAATCCGATTCTCTCACAACAACATATAAGGGACGCATCGGCAGTGCATCTAAAAATTTTAAAAAAGCATCGGTCCCATAAATAGATCTAGCGAGGATTAACGCGTAGAGATCGATGGAATGATATAACGAAGAGGCCGAGGCTTTACCTCCCAAAAAGGGTCGTCGGTCCCGGTCCCGATCCTCTTCCTGTCTTCAATTTATAGCGAATCGCCTCTCGTAATTCTTCCGAGACTGGCGCCTAGCTGGCCTAAGGATCGAAAAGCTCCCACTTAGGGAAAGCACGACATTTTTTGGCAAATCGAGAGGTGGTGCGATCAGTATTACCATACGAGAGAAGATCTCATCCCTCTCCTATACTCTTTCGTGGGCAATCTCGTAATGAACAATAATTGATCCTCCATAGCAAAACGACCACTCACCAAAATGAAAAGCGGCGATTGGCGACGACGTCGTAGCGAAGGGGGACGGTCGTCGTTGACTTTTTAACCCCCAGCACGCAACTAAACAAAAGGACTCGATTTCCCCTTGTTTTCTTCCCCCTTCCAGTTCGCACCTCTCCCTCTCTCTTTCTCTCTCTCTCTCTAGGATTGTCCCTGCGCCCTCCGCCGCATCCGACGCCTCCACCGTCTCGCCGGCGGCGATGGGCCCCCGGAAGCTCCTCCTCTCCGCCGAGCCACCGGCGGCGAACGTGACCTCCTCCACCTGCCTGAGCTGGTGCGACCCCTCCTGCTCCACCGGCTGCCCCGAGTACTCCTCCCCACCGCCGCCCGCTGCGCCCTACTGGCCCCCGTCCTACGTGCCCTCCGACGCCAACGACGGCTCCGGATCCGCCCGCTTCCCCCCCGCCGTGATCGTCGTCATCGGCATCCTGGGCGGGGTCTTCCTCCTCGTCAGCTACTACTTCATCATAGCCAAGTGCTGCCTGCACCGCCGCCGCCGCCGGCGGAGCCGATCCCGCGACCAACCGGCCTCGGACGGAGGAGGCGGGGGCGGCGGCGGGGGCGAGGAGGTCGTCGACGAGGACCGCGTGGACCACCCGATATGGTACATCCGGACGGTGGGGCTGAGCCCGGCGGCGATAAGCGCGATCGCGATGTGCGAGTACCGGAAGGGCGAGGGCCTGGTGGAAGGGAGCGACTGCACGGTGTGCCTGAGCGAGTTCAGCGACGGCGAGACGCTGAGGGTTTTGCCCAAGTGCGGCCACGCGTTCCACGTCCCCTGCATCGACACGTGGCTGAGGTCGCACACCAACTGCCCCCTCTGCCGCGCGCCGATCGTCGGCCCCATCCCTCTCCCCCTCCCCCTCCCTCCTCCCGAACGTCTCTCTCAGCGTCTCGACGGCGGCGGCGACGGCAATCGCGCGGCGGCGGGGGCTGTCGTCGGCGGAGGCGAAAACAGCAATGGAGCAGGAGCAGGGGCAGGTGGGGTTGAATCTGGAGAATCCAACAGCGATGGACTGTCGAAGGAGATTGACGAGGTGAATGGTCGGGACGGTCAGCTGGGTTTGGTGGAGGAGGAGGAGGAAGGGGTTGTTCCGGTGAGAAGGTCGGTTTCGATGGATTCTCCGTTTCTGGTAATCGAACTGCGGCAAGTCTCGGAATCGCAATCGTCCGATGCGAACACGAGCGAGCCGAGAACGACCCACGATTCTCAATCCTCGGCGGATCGTGCCAACACGAGCTCTCACCCGAGGTCGCTCTCTTGGAGCGGGAGGCTCTTCACGCCGAGACATAACAACAACAGCAACAGTCGGAACTCATCAAACTCGACTCTTCCCCGGTAATCTCAACCGAGTCCCTGCCATCTATTTTTCTGGGTTTCCTTTCAAGTTCAAAATCGGAGGGCACACAGATATCTGCAACAGTGTCAGCAATCGAGGGTTCGTCCATGATCAAGTCACGAGACGCTTATAGCTGAGAGAAATGGCCCAGTTTCTGATCCAGTGCAGGAGAAGTTTTAGCTGCCATGAGAATGAAAGAGAGTGTAAATTGCATTTTTATTTAACGATGATTAAAGAGATGGGAAATGGACAAAGTAAATTGGTCAATCCTCTCTCTCTCTTGCCTAGGAAGACGAAGTTTCAAGTTTAGCTTTTGCATTTATGTCTCTATCTGGGCAAACATGCTGAGCTTTTTTCCTGGTTTTTCCAGAGACTTTCATGTCCATGGTAGGGGAAAAAACTGTATCAGGGAAAGCACTGCTCGCGTTTCAAACACGAGTTTGAAACTTAGTTTTGAAACCTCCCTGTTAATCTAGTGCTTTAAATGACCATTATAGGTGAATTCGATTTCAGCTCTGTTCGGAAGATTGCTGCTCTGATCAGGAGATGTGTCACTTCTGTGGGGACTTGTTGCAGCATTTTGGATTAAAAGGAGCGACTAGAATCTAACCCTTGCACATGCACGGGATGGGACCTACTGAAAGTCCCGAGTGGGAAGAGTGACTGGCCACTGTGCTACTTGAAAGTCTTTAACTCTTAAGGCACATGTGCGGGTGGCCGACACATTCAAGCGTGATCAATGTGTCCACTTCAGTGGTGAATCAATGTGAAATGCGATGTGCTACCAACGGGTCGTGATTCCTCAACATCGGATCAAGATCCAGCATCGATTAGAGCATCTCGTGACGAATTTATCCCGAATCCATCGGGAAAGGGTATTCCGAGAGCCGTATCATAAATTAATTGACACAACCAAAAGCTTTATCGTCAATTGGATCCTCCCTTGTCCGGGTCCTTACTTGATGGGTTTCATTAAAATATTCGTTTTAGTTTTTCCCTCCCTTAGAGTGTTTAGGATTCATTTCTTATATATTAGTAAAGATTCGTTTAGTGTACATAAATTTTGACATGTGGAATTGATTAAATTTCTTCATAAGTTTTCATTTAGGGTTAATATCACGAAAAATCCTAAACATGTACACTAATGATAAATTTATCCCAATCTAATTTTTTTACCACAAAAAATCTCAAACTGGTATACATGTGACATACACGTAATAATTTTACCTTCCGTCAGTTTCAATGCAATATTTTCGTAACTTGGGTTGGGTCGGGGCCTAATAGCCTGCATATAAACAAGTCAGTGAAGAAAATTCTCATATTTACTGGCATTAGCCGATTTAGATTTTCTTTTTTTGAACCACGAGCAAAATTATGAACCTTTTACGGCTTTATCCGATTTGGAAAATTCATCTAATTATCTTTTTCGAAATGACAGTAACATTTCGGCGACTTGAATTTGAGGGCACGACGACGTCTGATTCCCGAATGCGTTAAAAGAATTTCCTTAAGCACGAAGTTGCCTAAACTTTGGACGTGTATGCCACGTCATGCTTGGCCAAAAGGACAAAAAAACGTCGTCCCATCGATTGATCACTTTTGACCATCAAGGCTGGACTTCGGCCAGTTGCACCTCAGAACGCGCCAAACAAGAAAATTTTCCATTTCTTTGGTCCAAATAGTTTGGGAACATAAATGTGTTTGATAACTTTTTTGCCAGGGCACATTTTGAAAAAATTTGTGCCTGAACAGTTTTGGAAGAGAAATAAGAAGTAAAAAAAGTTATTTCTTGTTTCTCGGCACAATTTTGAGAATCGGTTTTTTTCTTCTTTTTCTTTTTTTTTGTTTTCTTCTTTTTGTGTTGCTCTTCTTGGGTGGCCGCGAGGGCGTCACGGCCCTCGCCGGCCGCCGGCAGAGGCGAGGGTCCCCTGCCGGCGAGGGCGAGGGTTGGACCCTCGCCGCTTGGCGAGGCGGCTCGCCGTCGGTCATGGCGAGGTCGGCCTCGCCCGGATCGGGCGGCCGACCTCGCCGTGGGTCGCGACGGCGATGCTCGGCCTCGCCCGGATCCGGGCGAGGTCGACCTCGTCGTCTCGACCCACGGCGAGGTTGGCCGGCGGCGAGGCAGCGCGGCCAAGGCGGCGGCGAGGGTCGCGACGCTCCACGGCTTGTGGCCGGTCGCCGCGCCGGCGACCGGCCATGGCCAAAGAAGGAAGGATAGAAAGAAAAAAATATTAAATAATTTAAAATATTATTAATAAAAAGAAATTTTGTGTAGTTACCAAACGTATTTCATTCTTTTCTATCCCGGAATAGAAATTTTTGAGATTACCAAACGCCTTCAAATGCTTAGAAATTATTTCCGGGCACAGAATAAAAAAGAATCATTTCTGAGTAGAAATAGTTCCCCGGCATAGAAACATTGTCATGCGCACCATTAAATGGTCCTCCCACGAAAACAAAGAGAAGACCAGTTGCTCAATTAGACTCTCAGGCTGCGCATGGCAACTTGCCAAATAGTGTTTGATTCTGTTCTTTTGTTCCAGAATCGGTTTGGGAATAGTAAATCCGTTTGTTTAATTTTTTGATTAGGCACAAATTCTTGTAAATTTGTGCCCGAATCGTTTGAACGTAGAATCAAGAATTAAAAAAAGTAGCTTCTTGATTCTGGGAACAAAAATGAGAATCGCTTTTTTTTTTTCTTCTTCTTTTCTTGGTTTTTAATATAGCTTCTAATGTCCATAGCGAGGCCACCCTCATCAGTATTCAGCGAGATTAAAATATTTTAATAAAAAAATATTATTAATAAAAAAAATATTACCGGCCATGGCCAGCTACCAGGCCATGGCGAAAAAAAATATCATTAATAAAAAAAATTTTACCGGCTATGGCCAGCGACCAGGCCATGGCAAAAAAAATATATATATATTATTAATAAAAAAAAATTTTACCGGCCATGGCCAGCGATCAGGCCATGGCGAAAAAAAAATATTATTAATAAAAAAAATTTACCGACCATGGCCAGCGACCAGGCCATGGCGAAAAAAGTAAAAAAAAAATATTTTCAATAAAAATATTTTTTATTAAAATATTAATAATAAAAAAATTATTTATAAAAAAATATTTTACCGGCCATGGCAAAAAAAATAAAAAAAATAATTTCAATAAAAATATTTTTTATTAAAATATTATTAACAAAAAAATATTTTGCCGGCCATGGCCAACGACCAGGCCATGGCAAAAAAATAAAAAAAATAATTTCAAAAAAAATATTTTTTTATTAAAATATTATTAATAAAAAAATATTTTACCGGCCATGGCCAGCAACTAGGCCATGGCGAAAAAAAAATATTTTCAATAAAAAATTTTTTTAGTAAATTATTTTAAAAAATTATTAATAAAAATATTATTTATAATAAATTTTTTTACTGGCCATGGCAAAAAAAATTATTTTTAATAAAAGTATTGTTAATTAACAAATATTTTACCGGCCATGGCCAAGAAGGAGGAGAAGAAAAAAAGAAAAGAAGGAAATATTAAAATATTTAAAATATTATTAATAAAAAAAAAAATTTATGCCATTACCAAACGCATTTCTCTTCTTTTACTATTTCAGGAATAAAAATTTTGGGCCGTTACCAAATGCCTTCCCAGAATCTTCGGAATCGGTTCGGGCACAAGGAATAAAAAGAATCATTTCACTGACCGAATGCATTGCGGGCAAGAATGGTTCTCATGCGCAACCTCAGCATTCTTTCTCAGATTAAATCAGTAGTTTGATGGGAAAAGTGTCAGAAAAGTCTTAAATCTATTGCATCGGTGCCAATTTAGTTCTAAATTTTTTAATTATGCCAATTTAGTCATAAATTTTTTGACATAATGCCAATTCAGTCCTTCCGATTAATTTTGGCCGGACATTGCTGATGTGAACGCCGGGCAACCTACGTGGCATCGCCGACGCTGACGTTGACAATTTTTAATAATATTTTAATATTTTTCGATTTTTTTCCTGATTTTTTCTTCTTCTTTCTTTTTCTTTTACTGGCCACCGGCCACAGGTGATGGCCAGGCAGGCTGGCCTCACCTAGGCGAGGGTCGCTGACGCATGCCACAAGCGAGCCCCGGCAAGGGCTCCCCTCGCTCAGGCCAAAGGGGCCTTATCGAGGTTCGCCCTCGCCCAGGCCAGGTTTGGCGAGATCGCCCTGGCCAGGCAAAATAGCTATTAAATCAAGTTTTATTCTATCTAGGACAACAACCAAACACATGATATGATTTATCTTGTTTACCAAACGTAACCTTAATACTTAACTCTCTAGGATTAGCTATTTGTCCCCTCATATCCTCCGTACTTCGTTGTGCTCATTGGTATCGCTCCTTCGGAATATGGCACTTCCATTGTAAAGAACCGTGCAATGGGCATTTGCTTTTGGAGAATCTCCCATGTTTTAAATCAGCAGATTTCATAGAGATCACTATTTCATAAGAAGGAAAGATCGTTCCCCACTTGTGGCTCATCCTGTATTAGATAGAAAGATACTATGGACTTGATTATTGGGTTTCACGATGAGCTTGGAACATGTATGACTCTTATGACATGATGAGCCTTATTTTCTTGAGGTCTATTTTGCTTATTAAAAGCAAGTGTAGAATTCGGCCGTGCAATTGACATCAGACCCAAAATCTGGGTCCAAACTTGAAGAAATTGATGGTCCAAATGAGGTCATCACAATACGCTTAAACCCAGAAGGCCCAATTGACGGAAAGCCTATTAAGCTCATCTGATCATTAAGGCTATCACAATTCAATTGACCCACAAGACCCATCGATCAAACGCCTAACAAGCTCATCAATAAGAAATTTCCAATGGGCAGAGTTCAAGTGGAATACATGACACGTGGCCATGATCGATATGACTCGAAGCATGCAATGAAGTTCAAGACTGAATCAAGGAGGATCTGTCGACCGAAAATATCCGTGGTTAAGGAATCATGAGCAGTTACAAATCATTCCTAGAGTAGCGCACAAGTCAATACAGTTAGAGATTTTTGTACAAGAAAATCAAAATACATAAAGGAATGACCGATTTAAGATACGAGCATCCATCATCAACAGACACACGCATATACACAAGCAATTAAAATATCATAAAGTACAAAGAGCACTTCAGATTTTGAAGATGAGAAGATCATTCGTAACATATCAGTTTAAAGTAGATTTTGTCTAAATTTGAATTTGAGATACAAATTAGATTAGTTTTCCTAAATTCAGACTTATCATGGTTTATAAGAGTTATCAAGTCGTACTTTGTAAGTTCTTTTACCATCTCTACGCAATCCAGTCGTCTCCTTTGGTAATCGAGTAAGCATGGCATCCAAGAATGTAAAACCACATGTACTAATTCAATAAAATTTCATACAATTTCCTTATATGTTTCCATCCACTGTCCATGCATCATTTTAGTGATTCGAATTTTACAAAGCCCTCGAGACTTCAAAGCATAGTAGGCTCCATTGATTGTTCATTTGAAGCGAAATTCGACACTTTAATTGGCCATTTGATCATCCTTGATTGGATTTTAATCACTAACCTAATTCATTACATTTATGACGGACCACGAATTGACAAAAATATGCACTATGGCTTTGATATTCCATCTCAAATTCAAATTTAACCCTTCTCCGTCCAAGACTTTCGGCTTCATCATCCACAGAGGTCGACGCAACTCCATTCGTCGCCGCTCCTCCTTAATCCTTATCATCGATTAATCAATCGGCGGATTCCCACCAAAAGCCCTGCAGAAAGAGACAGAAAATGATAAAAGAATCGAAGCGGAGAGAAATCAAAACCTCGTGTGAAAACTTTTCCAGGGAATCGACGGGCACGAAGTCTTTCGCTACGAATCGACAGCTCTTACGTGCAGAAACTATTGATGGCCTCGCCTAACACAGCTACGGTTCACTGATCCCAATAGGAATGCATCAGATATCACCAAAGTGTCCCTCTCTCTCCGTCTCTCTGCAACTGGTCATACATTGACATTGTCAAATTCCCCGATAAGCTCGAGGTGGGTGGAGCCCGAGGCGATGACATGGAAGGGGGGGCGCTGGAGTGATTTCGAGAAGATAAAGATTCTGATAAGATGACATGTGTGTATAAGTCAGCAATTAGCAAATAGCTCTTACTTTTCCTTGGCTTTGGCTATAGGTCTGAGGAAAAACAAGAAACCACCTTGTCTCGATCTAATCCCCGAGGTTTTGTTTGGTATAGCGTCACTAGAGATTGTTGTTTGTATACAATTATTGTTCTCGACATCTGCAGAACATCAGTTCATCGATAATAATCAGCTGACAATTGTATTGACCCCGCAAACGAAGATAGGCTTTGATCCCCGCGAAAGCCGCGAGAGCCGTTAACTCCTTGTTGGACCTTTTAGGGATCGATGTGCGGGGCTCGATTAGCTCTTCGCTCATTCTATCCATATGAGTGAGTTTTCAATTTCACCGATAAGTCTACTTACAGTTACACCATTATCCTCTCATGTCTTCACTTTACTTATAAAAGAAAATGAGTGATTAGCCCAACTTGGCAAAGGGATTAGTCATAGCTTTCCTACTAATGCATCGGAAGATCTTAGACCCGCTTGGCACAACTAATTTGTCAGAACAAGGCTTGATTGTACGGCCTGAAGATCCTCGCCTATTTTTGTCAATTCAACCCCTAATCCATATAGATAGTTCAAATGGCGTGTTAGACTATTTTTACCTTATTTTTTCTTTTCATGTCTTAGATGCAAAGATGCGATAGTAGCAGTATGATGAACGATATCATTTTAACTGCGGTGTGGGGAGAAAGTTACTGAAAAATTTCTAAATCCATTGTACAGATGTCAATAATGTCTTGAATTTTTTAATTTGTTCAATTTAATCCTAGACATTTTGATGAATTTTCAATGTAGTCTTCCAGGCCAATTTTGGTTGGCAATAGCTGACCCTCCAATAGCCAGTTCACACACCCTGTACACACAGCACAGTAGATTACCATACCTCTACACGTTTATAAGAGATCCCTCAACAATTTGTCTCTCACCTAAATAAATGCCTTTGCTCTAAATACAACTACTACCCGTGTGTTTACAAATGGCTTTGTCGCTCTTGCTAGCTCTTAAGAACAATATTCAAATTCTCAGGTCAAATTCTCTTGTTTTTGTTCCCGTCAACTATGTCAATTCTGGCCAATTTTTCATCAATTTATGGAGTGCCAAATTCGAACTTTGCACTTGAATTGTGTAGTCGTTATTTTCATCTAATTCTTTGTAAAATTTCAGAAAAATAACTTGGAAAGCACATGCAAAACCTTGCTTTAATAGGAGCCGTCCATAAGATCTTCCATCAATGACATGCTTTGATCCCATCATCTCACAAATCTATTAGACGGATTAGTCCATGATTCCTGGCATAAACAATCTTGGAATATCATGCTTTATTCTTGGGCCTTCAATTCAGGAACTCCAACGATCGTCCGATCTCAAATGTCGACGGGTCAGACTGCTTCGCAAATCCGAATATTTGGTTTCTATACCGTTCCGTCAGCAGTTTTCCAAACTCAGCGCAATTCGGCTCAAATGATTGTGGAATCAAAACCTAGCTTCTGCGTCATCTACATATGAATAAATACATTAGGTACTCGGATTAATTATTTTTTTCAATCGTTAAAAAATCCTTTGAAAATACTTTTCTGATCTAAGGGAGCCAGTTGCACGCCGTCGTCCTCACTCTCTCTCCTTCCTCGTGTGAAACGAACCTAAAAACTAATGAAGATGCGGGCGGAACCTGTGGATTCGTGTTGGTTTACATGATGCTGATGTCTGTCTTAATTTTGTTTTTATTCTTCTTGTGTAGGTCCGGGTACATGTTCTGGTCAGCGGTTTCAATTGTCCGGCAAGGCAAGGGACCAGTGCCGGAAACTTCCGGTGTCTTGACTCTTGACTGCCAAACTCCCGTTTACCCCCGCGGTGTACCGTACTTTCCTCGCAATCGCAATTCAGGAATCGTATCGCACAAATTAAAAGTTCAAAGACGATATTACACTTTGGATCAAAGTTGAGAAATAAATTATGTCGTTTTCTCGAGCTTATTTGATAGATTCAAATTCCAGGCGAGCATCATTCTCTACTTAGGTATTTTTCGTGTTTTATCTCCATTTTCTTTTCTTTTCCTTTTTGACTTGCACAAAAAGTTGTTCCCGAGAAAAGTTAAACATGGTAGAGCACACTTTCCTCTATTCCTCCGCGTGCTTTCAGGAGTTTTTGGCTGTCGGCCCTTTGCTTAACTACACATATAAATTCGTACCTTATCTACTCTCATGAATCAAATAAGATAGAAATATCGAGTAGATTTACTCACTAATGCAACAAATTAAGAACTTTTATGAGCATTCCATGTCTATCTTGTCGAAAACCCCCTCGAACTAAAAATCCAACTAGAAATCGGCGCCCGGCGCCCATATAGAAATGCAAGAAACTTAATGGCTATAAAGATCTTCTTCTATCTTCTCCTCTCTTTTTCGTGGCATTGCTACAAGGATCGAACTCCACAGATTCAAGCAACAAAAACCAATGCGTGTGTGTACTGTACACTCGTCACAGCCAAATTGTGATTTGGTTTGAGCATGTAGCCCTGAACAAGAATACAAAAAAAAGGGAAAATGAAACAAACAGTCCATAAACTTTGGCTCAATGTGTAATATAATTTCTGAACTTTTAATTTGTTCAATATGGTCATTGAACTTTAATCCAATGTACAATATAATCCCTTAACTTTTAATTTGTTCAATGTGGTCTACGAACTTTTATACATGTTCAATTTAGTCCATAAATTATATGAAAATATTCAATATAGTCCTTGAACTTGAATTAATTGAATGACTATATTGAACATTTTCATATAGTTCAAGGACTACATTGAACATGTACCAAAAGTCCACTGATCACGTTGAACAAATTAAAAGTTCAAGGACTATATTAAATATTAGACTAAAGTTTAGGGCCACATTGCACATCAAACCAAAATTCAGGAGCTGTTTGTATCATTATTCGTAAAAAAAAAATTACATATAATATAGCCGGACAATGCCGGAACAGTTGGAGGCCCTTGTGTTTTAAGGTTAGTGTGCTAACATCTCTTGACTATAATAAGCATCTTCGGGCGATGATTAGCCCAGCCCTTCTAGAAGATTTGAGGAGTTTAGTTAACCCAAATCCAGCACCTAACCCATATTATTAATACCCCTGCTTAATGTCGCGCAATAGATTAAGATCCTGATGCGTTACTTCTCGGCACGAAATCGGCCTCCCATAAATTAGCGGCCCGAACCAGAAGCTCCATCCGCATTTTTAACTAGAAGTAGAAGTTTTACCCCCGTTCCACACGTGGGGCCCCCTCCGTCACGTGTACGAAAAGTCAAAAAAAAAAAAACTACCCCTTCAGTCCTGATGAAACCAAATCTAAAAGCCCTCTGTCCCGGGGCCCACCGCCACCCCCAACTCCTCCTCCTCATTTTTTTCGTTTTCTTAATTTCCTCGTCCCCTCCTCCGACGCCCCCCCACGTGCGGCCGCACGCGCGTGCCCGACACTCCTCCTCCCCCGTCGCCTTCTCCTCGTATATAATGAATGCACGGCGTCGCCATGTCGGCCTTCTCCCCCTCTTGCTTTTCCTCTCGAAGCGACCGAGAAATCACCGGGCATGAGCAACCCTTTACTCGACATCACTCTGAATCACGGACCTTGGGTTTGTACAGGATCCGACCATGGCCTCCGTCGCGGGGTCAAGCTTCTCCTCCTCTTGCTCCTGTCGGTCCCCGCCGCTTCCCAGAACGGCACCGCGGCGGCCGGAGCTCCCCCGCTGCCAGACCCGTTCCAGTACGGCAAGAAGTTCAACCCCTCGATGGCCATAATCATGGTGGTCCTGGTCAGCGCCTTCTTCCTCATGGGCTTCTTCTCCGTCTACGTCCGCCAGTGCGCCGACCGGCGCCTCCGCGGCGACGAGGGCGGGGACCCCCCCGGGCACTACGCCTTCGGGCGGCGGTCGCTGCGGGGGATGCGCGGGCTCGACGCCTCGGTCATCGACGCCTTCCCCACGTTCCTGTACTCGTCGGTGAAGGGGCTCAAGATCGGGAAAGGGTCGTTGGAGTGCGCGGTATGCCTGAACGAGTTCGAGGACGAGGAGACGCTCCGCCTGATCCCCAAGTGCAGCCACGCGTTCCACCCCGACTGCATCGACTCGTGGCTCTCGTCGCACACCACCTGCCCCGTCTGCCGGGCCGACCTCGTGCCCAAGCCCGGCGAGACCCTCCTTCCGACCGTGCAGCTGCCCGACCAGGACCCGGCACCCGACGCCAGCTGTCCCCAGGATCATGTCAGCGTCCATGTCCGTCCCCACCACGACGATGAGCCGGGAGCGACGGGTGAAGGAGCCAAGCCATCGCCCAGGCGGGACGCGGACTTTACGGCCAAAGAGGGCGTGCCGCGTCGGTCGAGATCCACCGGGATGCGTCTCGCGAGGATGATGTTCCTTTTCCCGCGGTCGCACTCCACGGGCCACTCGCTGTCGCTGGTCCAGCCGGGCGACGACTGCGAGCGTTTCACGCTGAGGCTGCCCGAGGACGTGCGGAGCCGGATCATCAACGACGCGCGGCTGGACCGGGCGAGGAGCTGCGTGGCGTTCCCGCGGGCCAGCAGCTCGAGGACCGGTTACCTGAGCGGGAGCGGCCGGCCCGGCGGGAGGGATCCTTCGATGTACGATCGGTTCGACCGGGAGAACCGGTCCGGCAAGTGGGCGTTCTCCATGACTCCACCGTTCATCTCCAGGACCGGTTCGGTGAGGGCGGCGGCGAGGCAAGCCGGCGGTGGCGGGGTCGAGGTGGGCCCGAGCCCGCCGAGGAGCTCTTCGAAGTCGGACAAGTCGCCGCCGTTCGATCGGTGGTTCGTGGGGAGAGACGTGGAGGCGGGGGAGCGGTCGACCGATTGGCTTCGGCGGCCGACCAGTCAAACTTAGACGGTAGACTTTGACCCGGGGAGGTTTGATTTTTGTGTACATGGTTTTTTTTCTTCTTTTTTTTCAATTTTCTTTTTTCCCTCTTTGTGGCGTTTGTCACGTTAATTAAATTTTGTTTGGGTTGGGGGAAAAGCAATTGGCTCTTTTGTACAATAGAAAGTCATCGAAGGTTGGTTTGCGATTGGGATAAGGCGAGAGAAAAGCCAATGGATTGTCTGAAATTTTTGATTGCTCGTCGCCTAGCTGGGCCTCGCATGGATCGTCACGAATTAGACCTTGCTATTTTATCATTTTGTCCAACAAAAACAAATGAAATGTCAAATTTGGTTGATCAAGTCACGCACGCAATTTTTTTGAGAACGATTCCAGTCTAAATCAAAAGTCTACACAGACTGAGGTAATGTGATGGTTACACTAGACCCAACAAAAAAAAAAAAGGAAAAAGAAAAATTAAGGTGAACCAATCTTGATTAGCTTGTTTATCTTAATATTTAAATCGTGCCATTTGAAATTGCCCGGAACTACTGCCATTTGAATTATGAGGAATATGTTAATTAAAGATATGAGTGGAACTACCCTTTCGTTCGTTGTTCATCTTCTCATAGTCAACTCATTCTTGGAGACCACCCGATTGGAGCATTCTCAAGATAAACATCGACGGATCTTTTGTCAAAGGGACGGGCGAAGGTGCTATTGCCCGTGTGTGCCGTGAACAGCGTTCCAGCATCCTGGTAGACGGCTTTGCTCGATCGGTTCGGGCATCTTCAGCGATGCAAGCAGAGGCGTTAGCGGTAGCTCAAACCCTAGACCACTTCGAAGGAAGATCTAACTTGCGTTTAGAGTCGGGAGTTAGATCAGTTGGGAAAGGTAAGTAAGTTTATTGGTGCAGGTCAAGCTGGATGAGAAGCTAGTGCCCTTATCACCGAAACCCAAGCCCGATTAAAGAGGTTCTCAAATCTGAAGTAGGCCCATTGAAGGAGAAAGTGTAACGAAGTTGCAAACTGAATTGTAAAGGCCCAACGACAAAAGGCCATGCCCACAAACTGGGTCTCTTGCCCCCTCGAACCTTTTTGGATCTACTATATTCCGAAGAAAAATGTATTCCCGAACTTTGCCTTAATGACCGAAACTCTTATTCTGACAAAAAAAATTATCATCAGTATCTCCTAGTAATGAGCTTTTAGCTGTTTAGCTATGGAACAAGAACGATTAGTCTAATGTTTGGTGAAGTTTGTCTGTAATTGCGGTACCATATATATTCGCCATTCTTTATCACAAAGTTTGGTCTGATGATATAGGGTCAAATGTCTTCCATGAGGTTGCAAAGGCAATTCACATCGTGAGCGACCCTTTGAACGGCTCGTGCTGCCCTGTCCATTTGCAGCATATCTTGCATCGAGAGACTTATTAGATAATAGCATCTTGGCGGGATGCGATCACGGGATCACCAACCTTGAACGTTCATGCGGCGGGTGGTGCAGATCCCATAGCGGGTGTGAGAGCCTCATAACAAAGTCCAGAGGAGATTGTTAGCACTAATCCCTTTCCCCTTCTCAATAGAAAACAATCAAGTATTGGCACATTTTGCAACTAAACTTATGCAAATTTAGGAAAAATGTGGGCGAGTAAGTCGTAGCAAGGAGCCCTTTTTATAGATAGTATTACTATTTGGGAAATATGATTGCCGATAAATCACATTCCTTATATGATCGCCATCGGCTGAGGTTCCATTCATCAAAAGCCTTCTCGCAAATGGCCTGACTCGTGGTCCATGGGTCAATGGGTTGGACCATTTAGGACCCGACCAACCCACAAAGGCCTATGCAGTAGACACTTTGTATGCATAGGCCTTTGTATACATTTTTCATTTTCTCATTCTCATCTCCGAATTGCTCACCGAATATAGTAGTTCTGTACTGATTGGAGGTGAAAATCCAAGCGTTGTGGCGGGAAGCCGGGAAGGGAGAAAATAATTAATTCCATGATATTCATAAAGATAGCTCATTAGTAGGCGATAATTAGATTGTCGAAAGATAATATTCCCTCCATTGTTTGACAAGATTACAATGGAGAACGGTGAATATGATTAAATCTTATGTAAAAGATGACCCAAATTGACGGAATGTGTTATATGATATGATGATGTATATGTATTGTTAACACATTTCTAACAATTAGAACATTTGGAAACACTATTTGTGTTTAAGTAGTTGAACCTCTCTTAAAGGCTTTGCTTTCATTATCCATTCTAACATGAGGAAACACTATTTGTGTTTGAGATGACACAATCTAGAAATTACCAAAAATAAGAAAGATGAAATGTCTAAAATATCCTGCATTCTGTTGGCGTGTGCTTGACCCAAGCGGTCGTGGACGATGCATCTCGGACGAGCCCAGATCAAGGCACTTACAAAGGACTCGTGACATTGCTGCACCCGCTTGAGCTCAAAATAGAGCCACATTTTCCTTCATCTATAGTGGAGAAAAATTTCTTTCAATCCATCTTTCAATGATTACTTATAAATATGGACATCATCCACCTTATGGTTATATCTGTAATACATCAATTAAAGCCGCGGTTAGAGTTAAATTCCTCCACCAGCGAACAGAGAGAAGCACAATATTATCTCGACATGAATGCACATGTTGCACACTTTTTTTTTTTGTCAAAAAAATTATGTTCATTGCTTAAAAATATACATGAAAAGTACATAGACTCTTAGGGCAAAACAAATCGAAGTAGAATAAACACCAGAATAACAACAAAGCAAAACAAAATCCAGAAAACAAGGAGAATCAACGAGTATCGGTATGGTTAAAGCACACACTCGTTCCATAAAAACGAATTTGTTAAGCAAAATAATCAGAGGCCATCGCTATATCTCGTATCATCATCAGTGATGAGCACACGCCGGAAATTCCTTTTCCAATTATTACGGAGTAATTATTTCCGGCGTTGCTAGTTGGCGGTGCACACCTAGGTTCGGTTTCCTCTACGCTATCGCCATACGGAGACCATCAAAATGGGTTGAAAAAACACATATCTAACTTTTGGAAGAGCAAATCTTCGTAGTTCAGTGAGACGCCAAAGTTTCTGCGATTATCATTGAAATTGGAGGCAAATGATCTGTACACGGACAGAGCATGGGTCTATCAAATTCCGAAAATATTATTAAACTCCCCAGATCTAAATCCGAAGAGAATAGCTCTTGAATCTAGAACTAAATCAGGAGAATTTAAATTCTTAGATTTAGAATTAGACCGGGAAAAGAAAGCTCCAAGATCTAGATCGGGAGAGTGGAAAAAAAAAAAACAAAAAGTCTCAAACAAAATCAATGGGAGGGGATGGTGAGATTGGCTCAAAGCCTTCCAATGGCTGAAGCTTGAAGAAGACAATGGGGAGGGAAAAACTTTTCGACTTCTTAAGAAGTCAAAAGGTTTGTTGCACACGTTTAAATACGTACCATGTGGGCAGTTGACTCAAGGAAGTAATTGCGAGTAATTTTGGAAATACCTTTTTTTTTTTTTAAAAAGAAGATGCGATTCTCCGATTAATACCATCATTAATGTTTGAATAGTATTGAATAGTAAGACTGCTTGGTAGAACATATCTCCTTGAAAATATTTTTGTAGATTAAAATTTTTAAGCAACCTAAATGAATATTTTATGAATTTTTTTTTCTAAATCACCTATTTCTGCGAAATGAATGCACCCTAAGCGACGTGCAACATCATCGTCAGCCACTTAGATAGACTCATTTGATTAAATTCTTAACTAGAATTTGCCACACTATGGGATAAATTAACTTGCACAATAATCTTGAGGGATAATTGTTCAAAAAGTCCTATACCTATTGTACGGAGGTGAATTTAGCTTTAAACTTTTCAACTGTGCCAATTTATTTCTAAACTTCTTGATAATTTGCCAACGTAGTCCTTCTCTATTTCCAGCCAAAATTATCAGGAAGAATTACATTGGCAAATCATTAAAAGATTTAGGACTAAATTGGCATAATTGAAAGGTTTAAGACTATATTGGCCGCCGTACAATAAGTTTATGACCAAATTGGCACAATTAAAATGTTTATGATCGAATTGGCCACAATGCAATAGGTTTAAAACTTTTTAAACAATTATCCCCTAATCTCGATATCTCCGACATTAACTCTTATAATATTTCTACATGAATTCACTTAAAAACCGGAAAAAGAAAAAAAATCACAAAGCGCATTCTGCCATTTGGCTAACAACCTATATTATTAAGAAATCATCAATTTCGGAAATTTATCGAAGGAATGATTTCTGTCGGACCAAACACTATTATTAATGACTTACGACTCGTTACAAACATCCAATCGAGGTTTTTTTTTTATCTGTTCTACTCTAACTCTTAACTTACTCTCAGATTTTTGCCGTGCCTCTTTGCGGAGTGTGGGAGTCAAAACCTACATCTGAACACCCAACCGAGGTTTGCGATGTTCATCCTTTTAATTTTTTTTTGGTCGGTAATCATCTTTTTAATTAATCGAAGGTCGGACGGAAGATGATGTTGGGCGCGGCAAGTGGCGGCTTTCTCCGGTTAATTGAATTAACTAACGAATGAAAATGGTCTGAAAGCTGGAACCTTCCATTACCCGTCGCTTTCCGTAATCCCACGCGCTAATAACGCTCCTAAGTTTCGTTACCTTGACCTCTTCTTCCTCTCGTTTGTTTCGTGGGACTCCTAAATTATTGCACCGGAAAGCCGAGGCACTAAGGTATGCCCAAATTTTTAATTAGATTTTTTTTGGTCGAATAATTAAATTTATATAAGGTACAACATCAGCACACAATAGACCTAATTTCCAAGAAAAAAAAGTACCAACTTTACCTTAAGTGACAATTCTGATTCGGACTTTTATTTCGTCTGGTAAAAAATCACCAACTTTTATTTAAATCCTAAATCTGGCCCGAACGGTTTTATCACAAAGGTCAAATTTGAGACTCAAGTAAAAGTTGGTACGTTTTATCGAGACAAACAAAAAGTTCGGACAAGAATTGTCGCTCAAAGTAAAGTTGATACTTTTTTTTTGGGAATTAGTCGCGCAATAACTCTTATTTATTTATGGAATGATTTTAATTATCAAAATTAGAAACCGTATATCGAGTTTCCATTTATTTAATCATCATGATTCCATAAGATATCAAAAACAAGATACGATTACCCGGAAAAACGCGGTCTCTAAATATCCTAAATCCACGCTTTGACACTTCAAAAGGAGAGGCAAATCCTCTCTCTCTCTCTCTCTCTCTCTCTCTCTCTTCCGATGATCGAGTCCATCGTCAACTGAGCAAACGATGGGGCAGCGGAAGAAGCTCAGGGACATCGTGGGCGCCATGAAGGACCGAGGCTCCCTCGTCAAGGCCTCCCTCTCCAGGAAGCCCGCCGCGTCCGCCACGCGCGCCACCGTGCTCCGCGCCACCACCCACAAGTCCGCCGCCGCCCCGTCGGAGCGCCGCGTCGCCGCCGTCCTCTCCCTCGGCCTGGGGTCCGGCATCACCGCGTCCGCGTGCATCCGGTGCCTGGCGGGCCGCCTCGGCCGCACCCGCAACGCCTTCGTCGCGCTCAAGTGCCTCTTCGCGCTCCACAGCATAATGATCCACAGGAGCTCGCGCGACGAGAACCTCTGCCTCTATTCCCTTTGCTTCGAGGGGAAGGGTTTCCTCAACTTGCCCAAGTTCAACGACGACTTCGACGAGGAGGCGATGGAGTACTCGTCGTGGGTGAGATGGTACGCGGCGTTGCTCGAGCAGAGCCTCATCGCTTCTCGCGCTCTGGGCTACGTTCTCTCTTCCTCTTCTTCTTCTTCGTCTTCATCTTCGTGTTCTCAACTGACAAGAGAATACAAGCGAGAGAAGATGCGAGCAGCGGCGAGCTCGGACTTGATGCGCGAGCTCGAAGTCCTCGTGACCTCTCTCGAGCAAGTTTGCGATGCCCCGGGGTCGCTACACCTTCAGAGGAACGACCTGGTATACGGGGTCGTGCGATCGGTGTGCCAAGATTATCGGATGATCCGGTGCGAAGTGTTCTCGAGAGTGGAGGAGTTGGGCGGCGACGAGAGACTGGGGAGCTCGAGTCCCCGCCACTTGACCCGGTTGCTGAGCGCTCTGGAGCGAGTCGAGGATTGCAGAGAGAAGCTGGCTTTGCTGTTCGTGAACAAGGCGAACGCAGACGGGCTGTGGGACTTGATCGCGCGGACGAAGACGAAGATGCGCGGCCTCATGCGAGACGGCGGCCGGAGCTCGACGGCCGTCCTCGGCGGCGGCGGCGCTTGGCTCCCGTGGCGGGACAGGTTTTCTGCCAATGCTTTCACGGCGGTCTGGTGATGCGTTTGCGATCGGGTCAAATTTGTACAACTGGCGACGAGAATGGTTTGTCTCTCGAGTGTGAATGATGTTCGTGACAATTGTTCGTCCCTCTCTTCTTTCTTCTCCGTCCTTTCCTCGGGCTTGCACTGTGGAAGGAAAAAGTCGCGCAGATTATGGTTCACTATCAAATGCCCTGTCATTTGACAAAGACTTCCACATGGTCCGATTTTCTTCCGAGCATTTCTAAACAAATTTATTATACGGATGATGCGATGAACAGAGTCGGTCCATATTTCGGTCCCTCCGCCGTACACCTTGCCTGTAAAATTTAGAAAAATTTGTAACTAAATCCTGATTTCTCAACTCCATCCGAGTTCCATTTTAGAGCCCCGTAACACGGTCATAGGTTCGAGGTCGTACTTTAATTGGCTCTCAATGCACTTTCCTTGTTCGGATCCCGCTCCATTGTTGAGAAGATCAGGTATTCGTCGAACGAACGAACTCGATGAATCGGAAGCTAGAAAATCATACCTTCGTTTAACACCATCAAGTTTTCATATGTGATGACTGATTGTCTTGATTAGTACATAATCTACATGGAGCTAGGGGGATGATTGACAGTAACTTGAGTTGAGATATAATATGGACCCCGTACTCTCAATTCAGGGTCGGTCAATTCGATTAACATAGGCGACACGCGCAACGTAAAAGGGTTTATGATTTTTTATTTTTGTTCTATTTTTACCTTTTGAGACGAGCTTATCCATTATTGGGAGGCCAAGAATAATAAAATGGCCACTTGTCTGAAAATGGCATAAAAAAAAAGGAAAAAGAAAAAAAAATAAAGAGAGAAAAGAAAAGAAAAACAGTTAGCGGATGATATATATAAATTTATATATTTGGTGATTATCGTTCTGATTATTGTTATTAGTCGTCGAAGATTTGATGCGAGACTTTGAGTTTTGGGCATTCGGCCCGGCACAATGCATCATCCTAAAATTATTCCCAATATTGTATCAATTATGATACGGAAGTCTTTTTGTTTTTTTTTTTTAATATAATGTCACTTTTGAACAATTAATTTTTTTTCTTGGTCGAATTGAATAATTAATTTGAATGGTAGGTTTTGTGGGGACAGAGACTTGGAAACCAATGGGATGAAAACATCGCAAATAAGTACAAAAAGATTGGTTGCGCCCCCGCCTGGGCGCTCTTGAAAGCGATTTTGGAGGGATTTGGCCAGGCGCTGTCAAGAGGTGTGGGCTAGATTTGATCGGACTACTAAGCTATTATTGAGATAAGAATTTAGTGTCACGAGCTGAGATACTATATATGAATTATTTATTAAAATAGTCATGCGAAGTATCAAATATCGGCGGGAAAATTATCAGAAAGGTCTTAAATTTATTGCGTTCGTGCCAATTCAGTCATAAACCTTTAAATTGTGTCAATTCGGCTGTTAATTTTTTGACGATTTACCAATGTAGTCCTTCCGGTTAATTTTGACTGGAAAACACTAATGTCCTATGTAGCGTGGTCAGCGCTGACGTGGACAATTTTTAAAAATAATTTATGAATTTTTTTTTCTTTTTTTTTTTTTGCCTTTTTCTATTTTTTTCTTTCCTTTTCGTCACCGGCCACGGGTGATGGTTGACGAGGGTTTAGCAAGGGTCACTTCGCTCATGGCTGACGAGGGACTGGGCGAGGAGAAAATATTCAGTGGTATTAAAGCATCGCGTTAGTCATTCGCAACGCGCATTTATTTAGTCATATTCATTTATAGATTGACAAGTGACAAACAATTGTAATCAAATAACAGCTTTTTTTTAGAAAAAATTCAATTGGATGCCCAAAGGAGCTCTCTCATCCTTCAACCGACATTTTCCTTTTTGACCAAAAGAGAAGGACCAAAAATAGTAACTTTGCTCCTCACATTCATCATCTCGCTCCACCCTCTCCATTCCTCTCCTCAACACCTCACCCTTGCCAAGGCTCGGACTTGACTCAATCGCCCAAGGTCGAGAGGATCTGACTACTCGCCCCTGAAGGACCCGTCGCCCAACTGGAGCAATTGGCCTCCCAAGGAGACGATCCTCCTTGATGACTGCGACTATGAGCACTGGTTCATCGTCATGGAGTTCCCCACCGATCCCAAGCCCTCCGAGGAAAGATGATGAGAGCTTACGTCAAATTCGTAGCCTCTGTTGTCGCAAGGTACGAAGTAGAAGAACCAGTTCGATGCTATCTTTTTTTTTTCTTTTAATTTCTAGTCCTAGTTCAAGTGGATTGTGTTTGGTTTGGTTTGTTTATTTGTTTCTTGGTGCGGTTGGTGGTAATTTGGATGTGTTCGAGGTTTTGAGTGAGGAGGAAGCGAAGAAGAAGGTTTACTCGGTTTGCACAACTACTTTTACTGGATTCGTGTGCTTGATCTCTGAGGCGCTTTAATACCTTTAAATATGAATTTAGTATCACGTACTTTGTTTGAAATTATATATGAATTATTTATTGAAATAGTCAGGTGACATGTCAAAGATAGTCGGGAAAATTACTAACAAGGTCCTAAATCTATTTTATTTATGTCAATTAAGTCCTAAACCTTTAAATTATGCCAATTCAGTACTAAACATTTTGATGATTTACCAATGTAGTCATTCCAATCAATTTTGATTGGAAAACATTGACGTGACGGTTTAGTCAACATCAATCGTCCTCTGCGGCGGGGTCAACGCTGATGTAGACAATTTTTTAAATTTTTTTTGAATTTTTTCCTTTTTTTTACTTTATCTATTTTTTCTTTCCTTTTTGTTTGTGACGAGTCTCCAGCCACAAGCAATGCCCAACGAGGGCTGGGTACAAGCCCTTGCCCAGTGGCTGACGAGGGTCATCGGGCCCTTGTCAGCAGCAATAAAGAAAAAAAGAATAGAAAAAAATAAATAATTCAAAAAAATTAAAAATTGCAAAAATTGTCCGGCGTAGGGCGTTAGCGATTTTAGGCCAAAATTAGCCGAAATAAACTACATTGGAAAATTATCAAAAGGTTTAGGATACAATTGGCCAGATTAAAAACTTTAGAACTGAATTGGCACAAATATAATGGTATAAATGGATTTATTATGATCTTGAGGCTTTATTAGATCATGCGAAGCAATAATGAAATCCCACTGACTAAATGCGAATTATTTTGTGTTATTATTTTGTATTTGCATTCATTTTTTATAAAGTTATATAGTTTACGTTTTGAAACTAATGCACTGAAATTTTTCCCTTTAAATCAAGCCATGACGATGAGCTTTAAAGAAATACATCAAAAACCATCATCAATTTTCACACCAATTTCATTAGGCATCTCTATCTAAAACCACCACTTTGCAACTTGACCTTTCGGATTAAACGACTCGAATTTGCAATTTGACATCAGCTACTATTACTTTTCTTACTTTTGGAATTGTCATTTTTTCCTACTATCATAATTCTGAGGAAAAATGCCACCAAAAGTCCCAAACTATGTCACTTGTGACACATTTACCTTGAACTTTTTTTTGTGACACAAAAAAACCCAAACTATGACATTTGTGATAAATTTATCCTAAACTTTTTTTTATGACACGAAAAACCCCAAACTATGCCATTTGTGACATATTTACCCCACAATACTTTGACCCATAGGCATTTTCCTCTTTTTCCTTTTTCTTTTTTTTTTCCTTTCTTCTCTGGCGGAGGGAAGCCGGCGAGGGCGGTCCTTGCCGGCGGTGGGTTGGGCGAGGGCTGCCCTCGCCGGGTCTGGCAAGGATGACCCTCGCCCGATGCCGGCGAGGGTCGTCCTCGCTAGATCCGGTGAGGGCAGTCCTCGCTCGACGCCCGACTTAGGCGAGGGCAGCCCTCGCCCAACCCACCGTCGGCGAGGACCGCCCTCGCCGGCTTCCCTCCACTGGAGAAAAAAGAAAAAAAAAAGAAAAAAAAGAAAAAGGAAAAAGATGAAAATGCCCATGGATCAAAGTATTGTAGGGTAAATATGTCACAAGTGGTATAGTTTGGAATTTTTCGTGTCATAAAAAAAAATTCAGGGTAAATTTGTCACAAGTGGCATAGTTTGGGGTTTTTCGTGTCACAAAAAAAAGTTCAGGGTAAATGTATCATAAATGGCATAGTTTAGAGTTTTTGGTGGCATTTTCCCTAATTCTGAATGTCCCACCACCAAAAACCCGCGAAATCAAAATGAATATCATGACCCAGGTTAAGTCATCGACTCATCATTATAGCCATATGTAAGGTGGAGACATATATCCATATGCCAGTGGAGGCTCTGTGCAAATTGGGTGGTGTTCCTCATGGTGGGTTGTACATGTCTGGGGAACTTTTCAATTGAGTTAAAAACTTTTTCATGTTTTGCCAATTGAGTCCTTTTTTATTTGATCAGAGCCAATGGAGTCTATCCAGTCAATTTTTGGCTGGAAATTGCTGATGTGGACGCCAACATGAAAAGATTTAGGACTCAACTGGCATAATTTGAAAGGTTTGTGACTGGATTGATATAAGTATAATAGGTTTAGACCTTTTTTGGGGGAAAATTATCAAATCAATCCTAAACCTATTGTACGGCGGCCAATTCAGTCCTAAACCTTTTAAATTCTTGCCAATTGAGTCCTTCCGGCCAATTTTGGCGGCCGGCGCTGACGTGGCCGCCGGCCGTCCAGTCAACGCTGACGTGGCAATTTTTAATTATTTTTTAAATATTTTTTTTTCTTTTTTTTTTTTTTTTGCTGTCTCCCCTCTGGCCGGTCCGGCGACCGGCGGCCGGCCAGAGGGGAGGGCCGGCGAGGCCTCTGGTGAAGCTCGCCCCGCCGGCCACCGGCGAGGGCTAGCCTCGCCGGCCCCTAGCTGGGCGAGGCGAGGTCGGCCTCGCCTCGCCGTCGTGACCTAGGTGACGGTGAGGCTCGACCTCGCCTCGCCGTCGCGACCCAAGCGACGGCGAGGCTCAACCTCGCCTCGCCTCGCCTCGCCTTGCCGTTGCCTGGGTCGCGACGGTGAGGCGAGGTCGAGCCTCGCCGTCGCCTGGGTTGCGACGGCGAGGCGAGGCCGACCTCGCCTTGCCTAGCCAGGGGCCGGCGAGGCTCGCCCTTACCGGTGGCCGGCGGGGCAAGCTTTGCCAGAGGCCTCGCCGGCCCTCCCCTCTGGCCGGCCGCCGGACCGGCCAGAGGGGAGACAGCAGAAAAAAAAAAGAAGAAAAAGAAAAAAAAAAGATTAAAAAATTTAAAAAAATAATTAAAAATTGCCACGTCAGTGTTGACCGGACGGCCGGCGCAGGCCGGCGGCCGTGTCAACGCCGGCCAGCCAAAATTGACCGGAAGGACTCAATTGACAAGAATTAAAAAGGTTTAGGACTGAATTGGCCGCCGTATAATATGTTTAGGACTGATTTGACAATTTTCCCCCTTTTTTGGTAATCCTACATGTCTCCTTTGCTTCATCTTAGTTGCCAATACTATAATTTTTGGTAATGTTCTAGATACTAAGACTCTTATGCTAAATTATCTTGTAATGCGGCGTGACGATTTTAAATAGTTATCTAAATAACGAGTCTACTCAAACATCTAAGGAGAATTTGTCTCATCATCTGTAAAACAATAGTATACCAGCTATAGTAACGCTAGTGTCATTCTTATTAGGGGTGAGCGGTTCCAGGTTCCGGTTCGGTTCCGCTTGGAACCTGGAACCTACCCTCAGGTACAGGTTCCTCATTTTTTGGAACCTGGAACCTACTCGTCAGAACGTGGAACCTGGAACCTACCCTGTCACAGGTTCCAGGGTCGGTTCCAGGTTCCAACAGGTTCTTTTTTTTAATTTCGTTTTTAATTAAACAAAATGAAAATAAACGCAACAATGACTAGGTATTAAAAAACAATATTTCGCTTAGTAGAAAGGGGATATTATCTAACAACCTAGATCCATTTATGCAGAATAGAAAACACCAAGAGTTCAGCATCATATAACTTTATTATCAATGGATCAGTGCAAATATATTTAGTAGAATGATATTGTCAATAAAAGGCCAATTAGCAACACCAATAGCAAACCTCATTAATCTAGGAAAGAAACTTAAAACAATATAATAGTGGAGGAGGCAAAAACTAGCTAATTTGGACTCAATATTGCAAAGAGATATCTTCTATACAAAAAGCAATAGAGGACATATCGCAATGTCGTAAAAGCATTTATACAGCTAAGCCCCCTTTGTGCAAGGCTTACTTTGCTGATGTTCAACTTAAAAATCATTGGAAGGGATAAAACGAAAATAAATCAAAGGAAAACAATCCAAAGGTCCACCACTTAAGACATACATGTTTACTGTCAGAAATCTTCTTACTTTCGAACTACATAGACTAGGCCAGTGGCAGCCCCAGCACCAGTATGCAGTCAACATTGTAGGAAATGCAAAATAGACGAAGAGGAAACGAAACCTACCTCTTGTAGCATAAATCATTGCTAATTCCTAAAACCGAATATCATAACAGATGCCTATACCAATACGTCCAACGTCTGCATAGAGCCAAAAAGAAAAGAAAAGAAAAGAAAAGAAAAGAAAAGAAAACAACTCAAACAACAAATAGACCAGAAGACTCAGGCAACTAAATGTTCCATACATAGTTACTTAAGGAAAGAAAAGTTACCTTGCGGTGCTTGGCTTTCAGCACTCCAATGGAACCAAAAACACAGCAAGCGTTGTACAATCGATCACCACATCTTTCTGGGATTGAACTGCCCACTATGGTAACCTTCAAGGCCTTAGCAGCTTCATATAACATAGCAGTTGAAGGAGATGAACCTCCATCAATGTCCTCAGCATAAACAGGGAAGCTATCATTTGAATAGGGACTGTTCCATATTTCCTGGCACAAAGTCAACAAAACCATGAGGCAAGCTGCGTGATTTTTCCCTCCTTTTATAGAACGGCGCAGGCTGCAAATATGGCTGATTTTACTGGAAGCCAAAGCTTGCAGTATATAAACATAGCAATTACATAAGCATCAACAAGAACTTAGCCACAGAAAGTCACCCAAAACTGATGAAATAGACACGTGCCTGCTCAAGATGCTTTTATCCATTCTTTCTTCTAGTGCACGCCTTCACAAAAGGGCATTTGATAAGGTATACAAAGTTCTTGTAAGCCATAAATTTCCCATTTTGTAATCAGGAGGCACATCCAAACTTTCCGTAGCTACATGAAATCATGCAAAAAAAAAATGTCATTTCCATAGAGTTAGATGATTGGATTATCATGAGATAACAATGAATTATTCTAAATCAGAAGACGATCAACCAGGAAGATACATGCCTTTCCAGCTTTTCAAAGAGCAGCACATTGTGCCTCTGCTTCTGAAGGGGCCTGACATATATAAACTGAATCTGGTATCTAACATTTTTGTTACGAATAAAGAAGAATGAACTTCTCAGACAGAATAGTAACCTCAACTACTGGGATACCCATAAGTCTCAATAGTTTTTTGCAGTCTTCATTGTGCTGTTGTGTCACCTGCAATGGTATCAAAGCCATGTACCACATGCGCACACATATCTGGTTAGCTACATAGATAGGTTTTTCTGGAAAACAGAGACAACATCAAACTTCTCATCGAATAGAACTAAAATATCGCACAGTAAGGAAGTGATCAAAACAAAGACAAACCTTCACATTTAAGGTAACTAAACGTATTCATAGACAATTAAAAAAAAACGAGAGAAGAGAAGGCTACATAATAATAAAGTACCGTTGTGCGAGCTCTTGCTTCTTCAAATCAGGAGGTTTACCATCAAATACGTAGCTATCATAACAACATAAAGCATAATTCAGAGAAGCACAAACTTCATTCTTCTTAGCATTCTATCCCAATGAAAACATAGGAGGTAAAGAAAAAAGCTTACACTGGCTGTATCCCTGCTTCCAACAGCCTAATTGTTCGGTAATGCATGCCTTGCAGATGACTACATGAGACGACAAATCAAAACGCAGCTCAAAGTCAACACTTCCCAAGAACAAAGATCACATGGCAAGTACAAAATAATGTGACACACGTCGATCTCATATACATAAACCCCAATCCAAGCAATAACAACTGAAGCATCAAAACAGAAACTCGAGCAAAGTGGATTATCATTCCATGGAGTATTCCGATGCCATTAGTGGTTACTGGTGACTTGACCAGCCTCATTGGTGAGCATCTGAGTCCCCTTCCTCCCAACCACAACCTGATCCACCAATCAAAGACCAAAAAAAACCCCCAACACTCAAAATCCAAATCCCCGCCGACACCGAAACACACAATCAATCAGGAAAATCAACTCATAAAAAGCAAAGCACTTAACGAGGAACTGATAGATGCTCATGCTGGCATCGACGGCGATCCTCCGGCAGAAGTAGCTCTCCAGCTTTTACTCCCTCATCGCCTTAGGGGCATTGTCCGCCAGTAGCTTTGTCAGCCCCTATCGAAATCAACGGACGACTCAATCAACAATGAAGAAGAGGGAGGTGGAACTACCTTGATGCCCATTTTCGGAAAGAAAAAAAAATTTCCCGAATCGCATCGCGAGCATGGGCAATGTTCCTCTCTTTATCCGCCGTCACCGAAAGTTGGCATAGCCCGATCTGAAACTGAAACCACACCACCCAAAGAAAAGACATCAAATTTCGAGGTCGCATCGATGATCGAAGTCGACGGGTTCGAGCCCATGCCTTGGCGAGGGGAGGAGTGGGCAGAAGGAGCGCGGGCGTCAACTGACGCTTACTCTTGTCCTTGCTCGCTCCCTTCTTGCGCCTCCAGCCACAGGCCGCTCGATTGGTCACCAAAAGAACCCAGACTCGGAAATCCGCCGTGGATGAGCCGGACCGTGGTTGATGAAGACAGAGGAAGAGCCGAGGCGGACACCGAACGGAGCAAGGAGAGGCGAGAGGGTCTCGTCGAGTCGTGGGTGTGGGGAGTGGGAGAGAGGGCGCAACGGAGGAGCAACCGAGAGAGAAATTTGTGTAGAAAAGTTAGGGTTTTTATTTTTTACTAGAAAGAGCGTCGGTTCCGGTTCCCGGTTCCCGGTTCTGGAACCGAGAACCGGGAACCGGAACCGGAACCGGAACCGGCGGTTCCTAAAAAATTGGAACCGAGAACCGGAACCGCTCACCCTAGAACCGGGAACCGAACCTTACCCGCCGGTTCGGTTTTTCGGTTCCCGGTTCTACCCTGGAACCGTGCTCACCCCTAATTCTTATTGATAGGCAAATACGGACCATCCATAAGATGGCAAGCATGACACAAGCTAAAGGTACAGAACTGCAATATTAATGTATACTACATGATGCAAAAGTTCCTATAAATAGGTCAAATGATACGCCAGCGTCCTGTGGAACTTTGGTTATGTTTGCATGATGGGAGGAAAGGAATAAATGGCGAGAAAATAAGAGGTTTTAAATATGAGTCGATATCATATACTTATACTTTCATTTCGTGTCGGTCCAGTTTTCTACTCCTTGGATCGCCACAACTCCTCACGATTACACAGACAAAGGCCAAGGTTGCTGGTCAACTTCCCTCGTCAGATTGTATATGCAATAACCCCATCCCGACTTGTTATGTAACAGACGAAATGATGGGCATGAACAAGCCAATCCAATCAAATATCATATCAAACATTAATGATTAGATGCACAAAATTTGGGACCAATGTTGTCTGATGAGAAAAACCTCGAAAATCTGCTCCCTCAAAACCTAATGTCCTTGCCCCTTATTCTTCGAAAAATAGAAATGTCATTTTCAATGTAGACTTCTAGCATTTCAGGGCGTGGGCAAGAAGCAAAGCCAGTTTCGCTTGATGTTCCTTCCCATGTTCTGTCGTGGAGTCGTTGCTTGCCATGTTACTTGCTTTGCTCCTACCTACCATGGAGGCTTACTATAATATGGACTTGGACGGCTGCTTAATGCTTCAACTACGCAACAATAGACTCCTATGAGCGACTGTAGCGGCCTCCATTGGCACCGTCCTCTTGTGCATCGTTTTCGGGCTTCGCGGTTGAGTACTTGTTCACCCGTTCGGCAGCTTTCTTAGCCTAAATGAAACCATCGTCACGAGATTTTCAACGAGATTGTTGTTTCAAGAGAGAGAGAGAGAGCGAGCATGCCAACAAACATATATTTACTATCGCGTGGATATACCTCCTTATCCCAATCTGAGCGTATCGTTATGATCGCCAGGATCACTGTCTGAATCGCTGTGCCACCAAATATCATCCCAGCCCACATGCCCTAAAAGATAGCATTCACAAATCATAAGAATCTCCAAGAACTTCTTGATTGAAATGACCGAACTTAGCATGATTATTTTAGGTAAGACGTAAATTAGGCGAAAAGCGTACCCTGACACCCCAACCAGCCCACCATCCCAAAAGTATTCCGAGAGGGAGCCCGACAACGTAATAGCACCCTAGATTTATGTATGCGACATACGCTTGCCATCCCGATCCCACGGCTACTCCTGTCATATATAAAACAAGAGTATGTTGTCAGGTTCGAGTTTAACATAAACTGATTAATATAGGACACAAAAGTATAGTCTTTATGCGTATTTCTACAAGCATAATGAGCCGAACAATGAATTTCAAGGCGCACAGCATCACAATTTAGCCAACTCCCCGTCAATATGGTTAGTTTGGCAACAAACTGAAGCAATGACTGACGGATTGGGAGCAAAAGAACGTGCATTTCGGTACAGACACTTAATGTAAAAGTTGGCATGATAATGACCGATGCTGCACCCCAGTATCGAAAGTTCACAGGAATCACACCTGACAGAATCGGTTGGACGCTGTTAAGGAGGATCGTGACTCCTAAGAGGAGGGAGAGCTGGTCGACCTCTTCGAGGACGTCGTCGCTCGACGTGAATATGTACGCAAACTTATCGTGAAATATCAGGATCAGGGCAAAGAAGAAGATGCCGATTATGGTCGATTGAACCACGGAGACCTTGGTCGCAAACTTGGCGCCTTGGCCGTTACCGGCGCCCAGCTCGTTCGCCACCCGAACGCTGTGAAATTCAACCGAGGTTAGAGGAAAATGGTCGCAGAACCAAGTGATTTTCATTCAAACGCTTTTTCTGGTCATATCTCGAAGTATGACTGTTAGCTCGAACACAGAGGTAGGGCAGAGAGAGAGAGAGAGAGAGAGAGAGAGAGAGAGGGAGAAGGACAGAGGGGTGTACCCGGTTGCAGCAAAGAAAGCAAGTGGAATCATCATCTCCCAACCATTGATACTCATGCTGCAACGTACGGACATAAATAAGCGAAGTGAGTCCAAAAGCAACTCCCTTTTCTTGAGATATGACTGCATTGTCACTTTTAAAGCAGACCACAAGACGTCGGCACGTCGAAAATGAACTTCGATTTCCTTAAATAACTATTTATGATGGAGAAAGAACGTTTGCTTTCGGAAAAATAACATAAATAGTGCCTACCTTTTACCGCAAATTAAATTGTGGTCCCTAAACTTTTAATTTTTTCAACATAGTCCATGAACTTTAATTCAATATGCAATGTGGTCCATGACCTTTTAATATATTTAATATGGTCCTTGAACTATTGGTACACTTTCAATTTCGTCCCCGAGCTAGATAATCCAGGGACTAGATTGAATATTTACCAAAAATTCAAGGATCACATTGCATATTGGGTTAAAGTTCAGGGATCACATTGAAAAAATCGAAAGTTCAGGGACCCATTGCATATTGAGGTAAATTCAGGGATCATTTATGTGATCATCCCATGGTTTTTCAATCCAATACTACATTTAGAATGAAGTTTTTTTTGTGACCTGTGACAATAATCACTTCCTGCATGATTATCAAAATATAAGATGACGAAAGAGCATATGCAAAATTAAAACGAGACGTAGACGTACCAGATCGACAAAGCATCTACCGCAACCGTCGCATCTTGTAGGTACCCCGTGAGCAATATCAAAATTCGATAGTACCAGTTTTCCAAGCTTCTCAATCAAACAAAAACCAAAAACCCAGTTAACAAAATGACTTTCTTTTCCCCCTTAAGAAGCAAAATTGAACATTGGGACAACGTGAAATAGAACAAACAACAACCTGAGATCGAAACTGGAGAAAAAAACGAACACGAACTCTCACCAGAGCATGACCCCAGAAGCCGCCGAGAGCTTGAGGAATTCCCAGAGCCCCGAGAACGCCTCTGTCGAGAAACCGGACCACGTCAACGGGCACCCGCCGCACATGGTGTACCCGAACAGCCCGAAGACAAGGATCCACCACGAGATGTCGAGCACCACCGACAGCCCGACGATCCCGAACCCGAACACGTAGACCGCAAGCCAGCTGAAGAGGATGTTGAAAGCGAGCGCGGCAAGCGAGACCCACGCGATGACCACGTTCTTGAGCTGGCACTGGAGGAACCGCTGGAGCGGGAACTGGAAGGCGAAGCTGAAGTGGAGCGGGATCATCCACGCTGCCGCCACGCCCGACAGCTCTGCCACGTCGTCGGGCTGGCCGAGCAGCCTCATGAGAGGCGCGGTGAACACGTAGACGGGGAGCAGCAGGAAGCAGCAGCAGAAGAGGACGATCCACGACCGCTGCAAGTAGATGCCGAGCATGCGGTACCGCTTCGCCCCGAAGGCCTGCCCGCATAGCGTCTCAAGCGCGCTCCCCATCCCGAGCTGCATTCCGCCGCACAAAGTTCCAATCAATATTTACAAATACCATGAAAACAAAGTTGCATAAACAGTATGCTTGTCCATATTTTTGGAAGGCATTAATAGCATGTTATCTCATCCGCGCCATACCCTTTCACGGTTTTAAGACACATGCCCGAACATCCATATTAGCATCATAAGTAATCTCAGGAGAAGCAGTTTGTTTACCAGGAGGCCGAAATTGAAGCCGACGATGACGGTGTTGGCGATGGAGAAGGCGGCGAGCTCAACCTCGCCGAGGTAGCCGGCGAAG